TGATCTTTGTTTATATTGTAGATATAGAATGTAAGGATGAAGTTCAGGGAGGGGGGGAGGGGGTAATAAATAACCACTGGAACCCGTCCAGCCGCAAACATGTGGGGGAATAAAAGACACATACCCTGAGACAAAATATCCTGCTTCAGCTTCTCAATGCCTGAATACCCCGTTAAATCATTGAGTCGCTGTCCTGCAATGAAGATGTTCGACTGTATATTATCCATCAACCGAGTAAATTGTTTAGAGATGTCTGATCTACGCTTTTCAACTTGTGACGGTAGACGCCAATTATTCCCATTTCCATTCCCATCCTCCTCCTCCTCCTCCTCCTCCTCTTCTTCCTTGCCTTTCCTACCTTTCCCATGTCGCTGCTGATGCTCTTGCGGTACGTTCAACTCATTCCCCGAACCAGTCTCCAAACCTCCTTTCCCCCCAGGTGCCGAACTTGAACTCGACCTAGCTTCGCCATTCCTTTCCGTGGAAGAAACATCCCGCGCCTCCCTTTCTAGTCCATCAACCCCCTTCCCGCCCCCCTGTATGGAGTAATATCGACCCCGGAATTGACAGCGCAAACATATCGACGCAGACGAAGACACAGTCGCGGATGTGAACCCATTGGTGTTAATATTATCATTGTTGTCGATGTTGTTTCGCGAGGTGCGCCATAGTCTGGAGCCTGGTGGGAAGAATGTAATTGGCAGTCTGCGGATATTATTTGTTGCGGAGGTAGTTATGGATTTAGTAGCGGATGTTCTGCCTGGTGTGGTGATGGTGGTGCTTCGGGCGAGATTTGCGGATGAGCGGACGAAGGATTGTCGGAATATTAGTGGGATGGGGTGCATGGTGAGGTGGAAACTGTCTTTGAGGGAGAAGACAGCTTCATTGGAGCGGAGGTGAGGAATGGGCGGGTGGAGGTGAGGTAAATAAGGTGAGTGTGTAGATGATGGAGAGAGAAATCTTGGTGCCGGAGTTTGGTGCGTAAGCCCGGGGAAGGGGGCAGCAGAACGCCGATATTTATCAGTGGAATTGAGGACTTGTTTTATCCTACGTTGGTGTTTTATGGGTTTTCTATGCTTGGAGGAGTTCCTGTTTTTCAATTTTAATCTTCCCCAGGAGCTTGGAGTTTGTAATTTGGTTTTTGTCGTTGGCCAGTAAAATTAATCTAACGAGTTCAACATCCCACTATTAAGATGAGGTTACTCCGTAGAGAGATACATCAGATGATTAATTATGGTATGTTTGTTTTCACGTTTTTCCACATTCCTCCTTCGGAGCGAAAGTTACAACGGAATTACAGAGCGGAACAAGAGGTGTGTTTGTAGATCTGTAGTGGTCTGGATATAGAAAATAACAAATACATATCACTTCACATTCATGTGTAATAGGGGCCGTTGGGAAAGCTGAGAACTGCAGTAAGCAGCTCGAGTATACTACAAAAACCAACCTCTTGCAAAAAGGAAAAATCATAGAACAAGAGCTGCAATAATGCGAAACCCAGCCTATCCAGGCTTTGCAAAATACACCCAGCAAAAAAAAGAAGAAAAAATAGAGAAAAAAAAAAAAAAAAAAAAAAAAAAGGAAAAAAAAAAAAAAAGACGGAATGCCAGTAGAAGGAAGGGGATATAAAAAGCGTTAAAAAGTCACAGTTGGTGGGAGTGGACAAATTTCTGCCCTCATGCAGGTGGATCGGATTTGATTCAACAGTTTCCAGAAAAGACAGAGACCTTATCCCAATGGACGAACTCCAACCTCAGCATCAGTCTTGAGTTTGTATCTTATAATCCCCCTTCACAGCCTCCGCGTACGTGGGTGGTCCCTGGGTCCGATTGCCGCTGCACCCTCCCCCATTTGCAACATCCCCAGGAGCTCCGCTGGTGCCAGCCTGGTGATTACTTGATGTCGACTGCGGTACTGGTCTCGTTGCTGTGTTGACGACAGGCGGCTGTGTAGTTCCATACGATCTCTGGGGATGAGGATGACAGCCGGAATGATGGATTGGCGGTTGATGCGATACGTAGTAGTACGTCACTCTTCCGGCCTCAGCGTCAGGATGACATCCATTTGCGCCCACAATGGGTTGGTAGCCGGCCGGATAGTCCTCGTTCTCGGGGTACTGTAGGATTATGTACCAGGCATGCAGCAGGCCGGGGATGTAGCCGAGAATGAGGAGGGCGATGTTGATGAGGGAGTCGGCAGAGCAGATGCCGACTTTTACCCACACTGGTTGGTTGGGGCGGTAGAAGGTTAGTTGGGAAATCAATTAATGGTTTCAGAATGGCATATGGCAAGATTAGATGTAATGGAGGGGTTAACTGATGCGGGGTTGAGGATGGGAGGAAACGTACCAGCTATAGGAGGAAAGAGAACGGCAATAATGGCAAGGAAGCAGTCTGCTGAGCAGCACATGGTGGATTGTTTGACTTAATTAATGTACTGTACCGAGGGATGGATGGATGGTTAGGATCAACGGAGGGAGCGCTGGAGAAGTCAATAACAGAGAGTATCAGTAAAGTTTGAGCAGTGTCAGAGACAGAGCGGGAGAAAGAGCCCAGGTGGACTCGGACGTTTGATGATGGTATGGTTATCCACTGCAGATGGAATAAATGTTGGAGCCTTGCACACACTCCCCCTCCAAGCAGTTCTGGCTGAGATTTAACGCTTGGATCCTGTTTTGGTTTTCTGGGGCTTTTTTGCCTGGTGACGTGACTAGGAAACATCTCGGCGAGTTGGAAGGAGGCGAAGTCAGCCGGGTCACGTGCTCCAGTGCGAAGCCCAAGGTTGTTCGGCCGTTGGGAAATTCAGATCTAGTTCGGGGCCAATATCTGCGAGGAAATAAGCAAGCAGGAAATAGCAGGAGGAATTGAGAGGGCTGCCTTTGGAGATTAAGGTGGATGTCCCGTCGCGATTTATATTACATTTCGGAGAGACTGGAGATCAGACTCTCAACATTCTATCCCGGCTCTGGGGAGGTGGTTAGTTAGACATCGGCAATCCCGACATA